TCGTTCCTTCAGGATCATGGAGCCCATGTGCACCATTGGTTTGGGATACGGTTAAAGCGCCGGATATTTGCTTTTCGTCCTCTCATTTCCGTAAACAATACCCCCGTCACGAGAAAGCAGTGGGCATGACTTCCCTGGCAGAGGCGAGCCCACCCCACTCTCGGCCATACCAGGGCATTTAAGGGTATATGTGTGATTTTGTTAATCCGTTGTAACAATTACTTAGTACTATTCTAGTCATATATATATATATATATATATATATATATATATATATATATCCCAGTAAAAGTCGTAGCGGAGAGTATCAAGTACAGAGATGCATGGAGAAAAAAGAACTAATACACAGGACAAAAAGTATTGTTTTGAACTAGATTGCATCAAGACTGAAAAGTTTAAAAGGAATTAAACATCATTATTTTAGCCTAGTTTGGAACTGTGTAGTAACGAGCAACCATCACGATGATGCTGCCATATTGTATTTTGAATGAGCTTGAAAATGTGGATCGCTGGATTGTGATTTTTGTAGTTTAGATCATTGGTGCAACTGAACAACATCAGAAAACACAGGGAAGATGTTTCGTCCTAATACAGGATCCCTGATGAGGTAGTGGCTTAATGATTAAAGCATTCGACTTTTCATCACTATGGTCCGGGTTCAAAATCCGCTCCATTTATTTTAGCTAGGGTAACCGGATAGCATTATTATTGTCCACATTTATAGTATGGCTCATACACAAGTACCAATGGAGTTAGTTAATTAAAATTTAGAAAATCTGATGGGACTTCTTAGCAGTGTGCATCAACGACCGAACCGTAAATCAAACTCAGGACAGTAAGAACCTGACATTTAATCCCTGAACTGCCATAGAACGACTTTGATTTTCTGACCCAATAACATCATCCTTACTGTGATCAGATTATGGCAATATCATGCATGTACATTGCTGTGTTATTCAAAACTAGGACAAAACAACACTCCTATGATTCTTAATAATTCCCCAGTTGATATATGTGTGCGATAGAAATTAACATCAAGTTGAAATAAGCGCCATAAACTTTTTAACTTCGAATTAATATCATTAAATCAAGGTTAAATAAAGCTGATCTATGTACAGTCAGCTACTAGCCAACAAAAATTGGCATCAAAAATGTCTATTCAGGATACAAACTATGTGAATGAAAAAAGTATACAATGGTCAAAAAAAAAACTCAGTATACAAGTCTATCTAATGAATGCAAGGAATACAAATCACACACACACACACATGCAAACATAGGAAGCGAGATATATGTACAAGCTGAATTATAGGTCACATACCCTAATTGGGGATAAATAATTATATCTTAATTAAATAATAATAATAATAATAATAATAATAATAATAATAATAATAATAATAATAATAATAATGGTAATAGTAATAAATTTACCGTAATTAAACCTAATAACATGAATGTAGGTGAATCAAGTAACAAATCATTATGTATTTATGTGCTAACTGAACATCGGATAAGCGGAACAAAGCTTATCCATCTATATTAACCATAACGTACTTTTAAACGAGAATGACGTTGTATATTTCAATTATGACTCTTCACAGAACTCAAGACTAGACCCTTGTCCTGTTTGAGACTGGTCAGTTAAGTGTATCTGTCCATATCAGTGGTGTTGACATTAAAACTTAAGCCCAGTCCCCAATCTATTATTTTATATATTTGAACACAAATATTGGTACAAAGAGGAACCGAATACATACACGCCACATAAGTCACTTGATTTGTGTGTGGGTTGTGATACTGACCGGGTACCCAGATCGGAGCAGGTGGTTTCATTAGGAGGTCATACTCGGAGTCTTCAACCAAAAGGCCTGATCCACAAGGCAGTGGAGCAACGTCAGATGCAGTCCCATGGTAGCCGGTGACAAACGATTAGTTCATACGCCATTTGTTTCTCCAAGATCCTGGAGCCCATGTGCACCATTTGTTTGGAATGAGGGTTTTCCAACTCCGTTGGTTGGATCCTCCATATCCACCAACTCGGTTAAAGCACCGGACATTCTCTTTTCACCCTTTCAATTTCGTAAACAAAACCTCCGCTGCGAGAAGTCAGTGAGTAGGACTTCTTTGGCAGTGGCTGTATACGCGTGGCCATGTGAAAGCATTTGGAGAGGGAGAGCTGACTTTCCTCACCCACGGGCGTAGCAGGGCATTTGGCGGCCTCGAACGCCAATGCATTATTCAATAACCTGTTGATTTCAAGTGGGAAATCACTTATGTATCGGTGTTTTCTGTAATTAACTTTCTAAGTTTCTACTTTACAACTCTCCTGCGTTTTTACAAACACATACCACCTTCAATAAACCAATCAGTATAGAGTAGTCCGGAAATCCTAATGATACAGTTTAAACAAAAGGGAGGTTCGAATTCACCAACACACTAGTTTCAATCCAAACTACACTAAGCCATTACATCTGAGTTAGTTTCCACAAGACTAGACTAAAATAAACTAATTACTACTTTATTATATTCTATATATTTAGAGGGACAGACAAAGAGTCACGTACAAAAATATATTCACTGAAAATTTACCGATTATGTGCAAAAATCTAAAACAATCTGTTCTAATGTTGTGTCCATTCCAATAATTTGACACGGATTAAATATGGCGGGCGACTATAGATGGTGGTGTATACTCATAGTACCACTACTACTACTAATATTATTACTGATTGTGTAAAATAATTTCTACAGTCTATCAAGGAGAAATTTTATTCTATGGTTCTTTTAAAAGACACGATCTCAAAAGAGGGACAAAATAAAGAACTAGTGTCAATGCGGACATATACAAAGAAAGAGCATAGATATATATGTCATGTTATTAATTATATAATCACTAGTAGCAGTATTAACGGAAGATTAGTGTTTTGAAAAGAAAGTGGTTTGGAATAAGTCAGATATAAGTTAATGATTTTTGTTAAGCATATCTATATTATATGGTATTTGTGTTATAAAACATTACTAGTCTTAAACTGGCAATAAGTATGCTTTAAAGAACAACCATATCCTGATAAATTGGTCAAAGAAGGTACCTGATAACTTATTTACCAAATACATACAGATTTATGTAATCGGGTTTAGGTTACAATTCTTTGTATGTAGACTAATGATATTACTTAGGACCCCTAAAGCAAGTCAGATATAGAATGATTTGAACCTGAGACTTATTGATTTCAATTAGGGGTTTAAAGATTTCCAAACGACTGATAGAACTAAAATAATGATTGGGATAGAGAGCATAACAGTCCCCAGTGCAAACTGATGAATAAATGTAACTAATGTCTTAGGAACCATATTCAATAGGTAGCATACAACCTCGCAAACGACTAGGACTATCAATCAACAATCTCACAGAATTTTTATTATGATATAATACATTCATCAATGACAGGTTTCTGTCGTCTATGTCAGGTCATACTTTTGTCAGTGAGAGGAATTTATACTACCAGGGCTGCTCAGACTGTGGTAGGTGGAGCAAGCTTCGAATTCACAACTTGGTAGTTCAAAGATTAATGGCTTACTTATTAGGTTACCACCTTGCAAAACTCAAGGGACTTTAAACTGGATACTATGACTAGTAATATAAGTCACAGTGGAAAGTATCTAACTGATATCCATCACTATAAACAATTTTTTAGATATTGAAGGCTACGACTACTGAAAGAAACTCTCGATGGTTGTAAAAAAAAGCAAGAAGTATACCGTGAAAATTCCATATAAATGATTTATCAATATACCAGTCAATTTTTATTGCCTAAATATTAACTATGATTTCATTTATAGTAAATATTTTTAAAAATCAATTTATTGCCTAACATAGACGGTGAAAAGTAACTATCAGGAAGCAAGTTAAACTTAGTAAAACTGTTTACCTTTTCTAAGAAAATTTGGGCTTCAGTGTTAATAAAAAGATTTCATTTACACCTTATTAATAATATGAAATAAATCCAACTTGGTTTTGTCACATTAACTGTTGTGCTGATTAAAGCTGACAAATTGACCTAAGGATTTAGGTTATTTTTTTCTAATTTTTGAAACTGCCATGACTTATATTTGAAAACGTTTGGTGATGCAGCTTACAATCAATCACAGTGCTACAAATATATGGACTCTGTATCTTTCTATCTAAATTCTGAGTTGCAATATTATTTCTGACATTTTACTCCTCAACTCCCTCGTTTATTTTGAAAAAGCATTCCCCAAGAAAGTGTTGAGTTGAGATTTCATTAAAAAATGAACACTCAAACCTATATGCACACGACTTTTGAGCAAGGAGTATGATTGAGAACAAATATGGATTTCACTTCTAGCATTTACAGAACGCTACAAGTTTCAATCCCCATTGATACGACTTCTGTACGTTTAAATCAGAAAAAATAACCCTTTACGTAGTTAGAACTAACAATGAAAAAGAGTTAATAATAGTGATACAAAATGTTTCGCTTCCAGAAAAAAATGTAAGACTTAACAAAATTATTCTTTCAGGAGAAACTCAACTGACATGAATAAAAATTAGCTGATGAGTGTAATTTAACAGCTAGGCATAAAATTGTGTATAAAAGTTTATTGAGACATTTCCCAGAGTGACAGAATAGATGTCAGTAGTAGCAGAAAAGATTAGGTACAAATGATATGAAAGATAGAATAAACTCTCAGAATAAGAAGAATCAGTATTTTGAGACATACAGTGAATCCATCTGTGTGACGGTAAATAATTCTGGGCTATATCATACAATTTCTCTAACCATTGACAGATCTAAGCCTTACTTGAATTATTTCAGTTAAGACAATGACACATGACTGCACATGACTATACTTGATCACTGGGTGGCGAAACTCCTTTAAATAATAATACTGTTTAATACAAATAAGTACCTCGTCAAATTTTCGACAAAGATATTCTAGTTATAATTTAGAATCCAAGCAAAAATGTAACTCACCATCTTGTGGAGATGTTTTAAGTAATCGACATAATCCTACAACTCCACCGTACTTTTCATTAAGATATTTAACAGCCTCCAATTTACGACAGTCCATTAATTTTTGTAGATCTTTAGGGGAAATTTCGAATGAATCTGCACCACCACTACCAGTGGTGAGTGCAGTTCGTTCGTTTGCATTTGCGTCGCGCATAGTATTTTTTTAGTTTAAAATATCTTTGATAATGAATTACTTTAGTCTTTTAGAAATATGACAAATATGAAGTATTTTGAAATCCGAACGTCTGTTATCCTGTTAAATAAAAATAAAACAAAACAGGTAAAACAATCAATAAATTCTGAAAATAAAACGGAAAAAAATTACTATCTAATTGACTTATAATACTTAGTCAACTTGGGATTCCCATTACATAATTTCTGACCGTTTTTTAAGAATAACACTTGATGTACTGAAATGTAGGAGTTTTTAAGAAAAATCAACAGCATAGTGGTAGCAAAAATACACATTATGTAAGAAGATAAGTTCTGCTAGTTTAAGAAATAGTCGGAATGAAATTTTTCTAGCAATTTAAGCTGAATGAGTATGCTTAATATCTACTGATAACCCTCATTACGATTTTGTAATGATTTCAAAGATTCTCAGAAATAAACGATATATGTTTAATGTAAAAAACATATATCGTCCTATGGTAAAGAAATATTTTAAAAAATAGGAAGTTAAATACTAATCAGTTAAAGTCATAGTGGCAATTAGTAAATAAAAATATTTATTACTTTTCACAGCGAAAATGGTCTTGGTGAGACACATTAAAGAAGATACAGTTAAATAACCAGTTATTTTTGAGTGAACGACTCAACTTAGTATTCCATCTAAATGTCTGATTTTTACTTAATTTATGTTGCAGATTTAAAACAAAAACATAAGAACAACAGTTTATTGCTGACTAATCAGCACTTATTATTGTGTTAACTAAAGCATAACATACATTTATTTAATAAATTTTCAACATAGAAACATTTGCAATTGTTCATAAATACAAAGAACCAGTTTCGTTACGGTACAAAAATCTGGGTTTGTTTTCAACCGGTTGGTATAAAGTTTTAAATCAACTAAGAAATATTAGTATGAGCTTACTAAGAGTTAATTCGAAATAATCCGTCATATTTCTCTAATGTTAAAAATCCTTGTCTAAATGTTTAATTAGACAGCACCTATACACCTCGTCACCAAACTAGTTGCCTCAATAACCTGAGACGAGTGTTTCGTCTAGTTTAACAAAAGATAAGTTCCAGAGGAATTGTTACAGAGTAACATTGAATAGAACAAAAATTAGTAAAAACACTATTTAACATCAATGTAACCAGTGCACAGCAACCATTTCGGAATCAAGAATCAGTTTATTCGCATTACTAGCACAATTTTTTTCAATCGAGAAATAAGCATAAAACTTAATATCAGGTTTTATCTAGGATCGCAAATAATGATACTTTAGCATAAGTTGTTATCCCTAATATCTAACCAGAAGTCAAACTACATTCTAAGTAGTAAGGCTAGGAAAATTATGATTCTAAACGAAATAATTAACTTCAACAAATTAATTACAAATCAATACATCGAAAGCGGTCCAACGAGTTAAGGATCATTTAAATCGAGGATATTCAAAACACAAATATTTTTCTCGAATATCCATAAATAGGGGACTGTTAAAAAGTCACAAGTAAGACAGACGATTTGAGTGGTAACCAAATTACATAAGATAATTTTCAGGATATAAGTGGCAAAATTTCATCTATTGCACACACAGAAAATATTCATTTGGCCGTCACTAAAAGAGCCATTTAAAATGAATCAGAGCGACAAATTTAGAAACACACTTTCTATTTATATGAAATACAAAATAGTCTTCAAGGTTAAAAAACGCACAACCACGAAAACGACACACCAACCGCATACATTGAATGAAAAACAGATTTGTTTTCAGCGCAAAGTCAGCAACGAGTATTCTTGAAACATAGAAACAAATGAGACAATGTCCAACCTAAAGCTAATTACAGTATAGAATACCGGAATGAAAATTATTTAAAATCCCATCGCGATTTGAGATTTTTTTCTTATTTTAATTGCTCTGATAGCGGAATGTAAGCAAGCTTCATTAGGCAATCCAAAATTTTATTTCACGAGCATTAGTCACCGATACTAAGGATGAGAGGTCAAGCGACTTATATTAAAACCTTGAACTTCCAGGACTGAAGAGATCCGATCTGTGTTTGAATGTATTCATAGAATAGTCTCGTACTACATGTTCCAGTGGAGAATTCCAGCGATACTACTCGGAACTACAAAAGCAAGGAATTTGATCTCAGTTTTTGAACTTTCATAGAATGTCCTCTTTGATGGACAGTCCTGCATGAAAGAGAAAGATAAGAGAAATCGATAACCAGACTGACGTTCAGTATACGGTAAGCCAGTACTAGATCACCTCGTACACTTCGGCAAAATAATGGGAATATGTTGTGACTTCTCAGTTTTTCTTCATAAGATAGACCAGACAGTACAGTATCATAAGCTTTTCCTCGTCCAAATGACGTAGTGACTCACTTATGACCCCAAAGACCTTGAAGCTCTTAGCAGCAACAGCCCAGCAGTTACACGTAGCTTTTATCTTGTCACTGGTTATAACTCCTTGATCTTTACAGTCCACTACATTAGGCAACACAAACCCACATTTTATGTTTAATAGGAATCATCGCAGTTATTTATTTGCATCACCACTCTGTTGTTGGAGTTACTTTCTAATGACTAACCACAGTTCTGTTCAACCAGTAATTTTAGGTCATTCTGTAATGTTATTCTACCTGAACCACTCTATATGGGTCTTCACATGTTTATGTCAATTGCAAAGAGTAGAACAGATGACTTTGTTATATTTTTTAAGTTATTCATAAATAATAAAAAGACGACCGAGGATCGTATTTTGAGGAACTTTATACAGGTTTCTAGGTTGGTAGAGCCCCATTTACCCGTGTCCTTTGTCGCCTATCGTTGGAAAGGTCACTCATTCAGTTCGCGGTTTCTTTGTGGACCCCAAAAATCATCCAGTTTTAATTTAAGACTCGGGTGGAGGATCTTGTCAAAGGCTTTATTTGGATCTATTAAAGTTGTGAAAAACGGAATACTTTTCTCTGCAACCTAATTTTCTCGTGCAATGAGCAGATTTGTCAAGCACGTTAGGCTTTTCCTAAAACCATGTTGTTTCCTGGACAAAATATTACTCCTTTCCACATAGTTTGGAATAGTTAACCGAATAATCTTTTCCATAGGTTTACAGTTATGCTGATTAGACTATCTCGTTGACAGTTACTAAGTCTCTTCTGCCTGCTTTATAGTCGACCGAATATGGCATCCTTTCAGACTCTTAGCAGTTTAAACTGCCGCGAAGGCATATCAGATAGTATCGACAGAGGCTCACCAGTTACACCCACTACGGATTTCATAGTCGTAGTGTCAACATTGTCATGACTGCGAGACATATCTGGTTTCAGTTGCTGAAGTCCTTTTATCGGCAACCTCAGAATCCGTCGACAAACCGCCATTATCACAATTAATCGTCGTCAGTGGAAAACAAATTACTAAAATATTCTGATAAGGTTTTGGCTTTTGCAACATAACTTCTTGTCAATATGAATGGGTTTTCTTGTACTCAAAGTGGTGGGATTCTATCACCTCCTTGATCTAGCCTTTTTATTTATTATTGACAATATTCAGAATCCCTTCATTTAAAAGTCTAGCCTTGCTTATTAACGCCTTGAAAAAGTTCTTGATCTTAAAGCAAGTTCAGAGCCTGCAGAGACAAATATGCTTCAACGCCTTTTCTCACATCTGAGAGATTTCATGAACTCTTTAAGTATCCATGTTCGGCAGTTATTTTGCCTACAGTTAACCAATAATGGTATAAATGTATGTAGCTAAGTGTACCTTTAAATGTGAACCGCACTTCTTCAAATGACGGACTGGTATTTGCTTATCGGTCCGTTGTCGTAGAAGATTTCTCTACGGCTACTATGTTCGCCCTCCACGCAATTAAGCTGGATCTAATGTGAACGTGTATCATATCACAAGCTCCAAACGTGAACGAATAAAGCATGATCGTTATTTACCGACAATCAGAGAACAGTTAGACAGGCAACATCCGATGATAAGATGAGTTGTTTTAATCTGTCCACTAATAATCCTATTTCATGAAATCTACCTCCTAGTCTGCGAACATGAAGTCCATAAATTGAATGACATCTTTCTACAAACCGTGGTAACATTCCTACCCGATACACGACTTCTCAAAAAACCCACTTAACAGAGATGTTGTTCACCATTTTGGAGATGTGTTTCAGTTAAGCTTGTGACATTCTATCTTTTAAATACATATTATGCTTCACTCTAATTTCGGTGTCATTTTCATCGCGAGAAGCACCTTTTATCGCCGATGTTTCTGTCGCAACTTCAGTAAAAGTATTTAGTGAAATGCTACAAATAAATGATTCGCATTTTTTCAAATAACGAATGTGTCATATATCTTGGCCAGGGTCGTTTGTCTCTAGTAAATTATCTACAATAACTTTGGACCTTTGGCAGGGTATCCTGTGGCAGAATGAGAGTCTAGAAAAGGCTTATAAACAAAAAAGTGTTGTTTTTTGGTTTTTTTCCTTCTCTCCTTTGTTTCCTGATTATCATTCATTTCACATTACCTGAGAGAATAAGGTGAAGACTACTTGGCACGTGACGGTTTCATCCGGATTTTCAGTTTACACGTTAAAATCATGACCATCAGCATCCATTGGTATTTCACTCTTCATTTGCCTCAAAGAAAATTTTATTTTCCCATGTTTCAAAGTCGTGAGTTCGGCCCGCCCCATAATGGCACTTTCCACATAAGCACATTCTCCGTAGTCAGTTGGTAAGTTACCAGTGCAGCCACCATCAACCTACTTGTTGTCCAACGTCAGAAGACCCGCCAACTCCTGAATATGTGATGTCCAATTGGAACAGCAAATGATACAAAGCCAATAGAAGCTAGGCTTCAAGCATCTTTTGTATTCGATATTTAAATGGGGACATATCTCGTGCACCTCATCCTTATAATCATCACATCACATTCATTCCTTCACGGGGAAGAAACGGTTTGTCTGTTCACCTTTTTGAACACAACCGATTGTTGTAAGCAGATTTAAAAGAGAAAACTACATCAAGTAATCACTAGTGCGAGAATCAACCAAAAGAATAATATTAAGAAGAGGAATTGGTGAAAATGTCGAACGTTAATGGAAATAACTTTATGCACGGTGTATAATGTATGCTTCTGATGCAATGAATAAACAAAACTAGAGTTAATCCATGGCAAGTACAAAATCATCGCTATAAATACGCATTATATACGTAAAATATTTAAAGTCCGCTCTCTCTTGAGTCCCTGGGCTAGTGTCAGTTTATTCCTGAACACGCAACAGTCTGTTGCGACATACCTTCCGTTACTTCAATAGTGATGGACTTAAATTCTGTGTTGATGAAACAAAAATTTCGGTGTCTTAGGAACTAGCCATTTTCTCTGTGAAGCTAAATCCTGATGATGGAGTGAGTTTCGGACACTGAGTGATAAATTTTGTCATCAGTTATCGATTGAATGGGAAAATTGGCCAAGAAATGGTAGTCCTGCAAATACGCTACTCTTCATCTCATAAAAATTTCTTCATTTTTCAGTATACGCTTGCCCATTGTTGGCAGATCACTTCCTGCCGTTTGGAGACTTTGTAAATAATATCTGATATGCAAATAAAATATTTAACAATGACGTTTTAAATTGAGTTTTAGCTTGCATGCTTGATTAAAGCTTCTGCTTTATAGTACTTTCTGCAAATAAAAATGGATTCGAACAATGTGGGCTACATAAACATCTGGTGAACTTATTATTCAAGTTTATATTAGCTCATAGTTCTGCTTATTTACAAGTGAATATTGAGATTCATCGATCAAAGAAGAATGCGATCATTAAATTCACCATGTTTTAGACTGATAAGTAATCGTGGTGATTATGTGGGACCATCTGCACATCTAAGGTGATATTCACACTCATTTTCAAACATAATTAAATTTAGAGTTGAGTTAAACGGGCATAATCAATCATCGAAACCTTATTTAATACAGGCTACTTAGATCTTACAACGCATTATGAAAGGAACCTAATGGGTCAAACTTATTGCAAACCATACTCCTTTTTATAAGGCTCTAAAACATTTGTATTAAATAAGTCCTTTATTTAGTTTTTATATCTTCTTGAAATCGGGATTTTGGTTCTAGTTTTGCCCTTTGGTCTGTCACTTTTATTATAAATTCTAGTAAGCCTAAAGATGGTAGGTCCTCAATGAATTTTATTTCTATGATGTTTTGAAAAAAAACAGTGTATTGACAGGTTTGCTATGATGTACAAACAATTCATATTTCATTCTCTAATTTCTTGTTCATGTGTCAGATCCAGGTATAGAATTTCTTTAATGTCACTCCAAATTTTAGAACTTTTGTCACGCTGTTTAGATTTTCATAATTCACAAGGCAATTTTAAACGGTAACTTCCTCATAAGAACGTAGCGAACGCTCCAGTCGGAGCAGGAGAGTGGTACTACAAGAAATAATGCAATTAAAAATAAAAAGGATGGTATCTGGATGGTCTTTTTTCTACTTTGGTACAGATACCGGAAAAAAACCGATTATTACAATAAGAAAAATACTCCAATCAGTCAAGAAACAGTATTGGACCCAAGGAAGAATGGTAATTTGATTCAGTTCGCGCTAAAAACGGGTAATCAACTGGAAAACGACGACTACATATAAAAAACGATCACCAGTGAATAATAGCTAAAGTTCCCGAAATCAGACAGAAAACGTGGTTCGAAATCAACCTCACGAAACTTCAGAAGTCAGTTCACAAACTATTGATCAAAATATATCCGTCCGATAATGCGGTAGCCGTTATGATAATGTTAAATAAAACAAAGATAAGTCGGTTATGAAACGATTCATAAACACGAAAGGAATAGTGATGATTTATAATCTGTAGGCAAGTTTGTAGTAATCACAGCAATCAAGCTCAAGAATGGGAAACAATATACTGCAATAATAAAAGATGCAGTACATAGTCCAGAAATTCAAAGAGCTAGTCACGAGAAAAAACAGACAGCAGGGTTTTATACACATTTGCACATGAGCATATAAAATTGAGTCTCACACTAGTGCTCTTAAGCATGCCGATTACTTGTCGACCACACATCCAAAATCTCAAAATTTCGATATGACAACGAGATTGTAAAGAATTTTACAAACCTGAATAGACCATTCGTACAAAGTATTGAAGGGATTGAGATAAAATTGCGTTATCGTTTCTAAGAAACCTTGTTATTTGGATTGTGGTTGTCACGGTTTATTGCTCGTTGTTCTTATCCTACTCCTCATCGTTGACCATAATAACCCAATATACTCCACAGTTAACAATGTAGAAGGCTGATGTCAACGCATCTGAGGTATATCGACCAATGGTTTAATTTGTTTGCAGTGGAGTTCAGCGCACTGGTACTTATATATCTGTTTTGATTAAGTCTGATGGTGTTCACTTTTGTTGATTGTTATTTACGTTTTACATTTTTTAGGTGAAGCGTGGTGAGTAAATTAGCGAACAAAAGTATTACTGCTGTCCGGGCATACTTACATAACTTTTAAATAACGGAAACAATTCTTATGTTCGGGCGGTTAAGACATGTGAACATTGTAAACAAAATTGAATCCTGCGTGACCGTTCGTTCACTTTTGATCTTTACAGTTGATCAGTTATCTGGACGAACTGTACATCGAGGACATTTGGCATCAGTGAAAATATTGACACAACTATCATGTAAGAAACAACAACGATTTGGCATCTATATAAGTTCAAGGAGTTTACATTGAGGTATGGCATCTAATCCAAGTGTTATTTCTAATACAACTTAACAAATCATATTCAGCAAGGCAGTATCTGTAAGTTAGTGCATCAAGTAGATTAAATGGGTAAATTCATGTGACCTAGGAACGTTGACAGTCATTGATAATAGCCACGACAATCATATACTTCTGTTTACTCCTCGTAATAGGGGAAAGCAGTTATGATGACCCACACAAGCTTGCTTAAGTTCATTTCCCCATATTCAGGACTTATAAAAATCTACAATGATCTAAGGATTGTTCTACATAATTTCAATCAATTTTTAGGTTTTGTCTATTGCTGATGTTGATCGAAATCGGAAACATCCTGATGTTTACACATCCATTTTTTAAGGTCATGTGGTTGTCAACCCAGATATTTTATTTTGTTACATCCTACTAGTCATAAAAAATTCGTAATATCAGTATGTGGTTACTGTTGGTTCAATAATTGTCTTCAGAATTTTCATTTTAATGTACGTTTCTTACGTTTTAAAGAAATTAAATTAACCCCGTTTCAGCAAGTCACATATTACATTGGTGTAAAACGTTTTCAGTGTCAATCGTAGTTTTTTTCAGGTATCCTTACTGATACGTTTAAATTTTCAATCACGGTCACTCGATACGCTGTTAACTTACGACACAAATAACAAAAGAACCTTTTTCCATTTTAGGTTCAAAGATTTTATTCTCAACTTACTAGTAACAATAATAATAACAAATTTTATGAAAATTTTCGGTGTTTAGGTTTCCCGGGCGAATTTTACGAAACACTGATTAAAGACATGATAGTGGGGAGATAACATACATCTACCCATATCTGTAGGGCAGAACATTCTATTTAATTACAGTCCCTTACGGTCTAGTGGATCCTGATGGTGGCCTTAATTTGGGATCGAGAAACAGATGCTACACAGAATTTCGAAACATTAGGAGGTCTTTCCGAGTCAAATTAACGACCAAAAACACAAGCTATCCCTAAATATCTTTACAGTATCACGAGTAAAAGAAAATTTGCGAACATAGTGATTTGTGCTCCTAAACGGTCAAATTGAGATCTTGTCGACTTAGAGAGGACAGAAGTATTTAATGCCAACTTCACGAACCAACAAAATCAGGAAACAACGAACACAAAACGCCCCTTAACTCTAGTACCAGCTTACAGTCTATGGAACATCAAACTAACTTCTGGGTTAGTACTTAGAAAAATAAAATTCCTGCGTCTAGGACACTCACCCGGATATGACAACAAGTGACCTTTAATTCTGAAAACGTAAGCGGAAGTCATCAATACACTGCTACTCAACCTATTTAAGAACTCTCTAGAGTATCAAAAACTGCGAACAGAATAGAAACAGGCTACCATCAACAGTCTTCAGAGGGCGAGACAGAAAATACGAAGCCTGTTACAGGCCAGTTGCGTCACTCCTAATAACATCAAATACGATGGAAGGACTGATCAGCGAACAAATTCAGGAATACATAGGTAAAAATCAGATCTTACAAGAAGCACAATTTGCGTTTATATAAGGGAGTTCCTATGTTCCTTATCTTCTTATAGTATAGGACAGCTGGACGACCTGGTGTGACCATAAGATACTGGTCCATGTAATATTCATTGGTTTTGCAAAGGCCCTTCACATAGTACAAAGATGGGCTTCACTGACCAACTTCTATACCGGCTCCGAAACTACCTAGCAAAAACAGAATGTCTCGTACCATGGTAAATAGAATGAACGCCAGTTGAAAGGTCTGAAAGTCGGGAGGTTCACGAGAAACAGCCTCTGGTTCAATCCGCTTGGCTGCACTGGTCTTTGCAGACAACATTAACATCCGGAGGTCTATAAAAACCAAGACAGTTTCACTGGAGCTTCGAAAAGACCGTACAGCAGTAGGTGAATAGAGTATGGACAATCGCTTAAAATGAAACTTGTCGAAATGTCACTTCATGAACATGCTGCCTTATTCGACAAAAAGCACTAACATCAAGTATAGAAATGAGTAACCAAGTGGATGTTAGGTCTAAAACATTAATCTTACAAAGAGAGACTTGAACACTTGATATTATCCTCATTAATCTGCAAGAGAATAAAAGGTGCGTTCTTACTTTTCTGATTGAGATTCACCATCAATAAACCTCCTGTCTGGTAAGGTGATAATCGCTGGTATACAGAAACCGTACTTTCCTGACATGAACATACACCACAACACATACAAATCCACAAATAGCTACCTAAATGACTAGATTTAGTGTGGACAAGTACTTAGACTAAGACGAATTGATCATGGAACCGTACTGAAAAACAAGAAGTTGGAGCAACGAAATGAATTGGTTGATACAAGCTCGTGACAAAATATTGGATGTCGGAGGTGTCAACCTTGGAATACGCGGATTTATGAAAACTACGGGTTGTAATATCGCTACTATTTTTGATGCAAAATTCCCAGGAAAGCTTGATGACACTCTAATAAATAGGCTGTGCTTATCAGTAGTATGTCAGCATGAATTTCACACTGATTTTTGGTCCACACTACCGATCAGTGAATGGCATCTTATATCGAAACACGCTTCTCGATGGGACATCGATTGTGATTACACTACTGAATTGCATATCATTCTGAAAGCCGCCGTATCTCTTTCTTTTCGCCATGGTTTTATTTTCGGAAATGAGGATTTTGGCCCCCACCAGGTCGTGTTGTATGCTCTCAATGTATCCAACAAAAATGTTGATATTACACTCACAGAGGCCTTGGCTAATTGTTTAAAAAGTCTTCATTCTCTTACAGACATTAGTTCTGTATCTTGGATCAAGTCTCCGAAGGTCTTAACACTTCTCCAAGGTCTCTCTAGGGAAACAAATGTCCACGTTCTCAAAAATACCATTGTCATATGTGCATTTATTTTTCTTCATCTTCTTGTAGATGGCAAGCTTGATGCTAGCCCAGAGCCTTTCAATGAATGTTTTCAACTGTCAGCTTTTGGTACTGAAGTATTGTTTTCAATTGCAGAATTGATTAAGAAGTTTAATGTGGAATTTGATACTTTGCAAATACCGGATAAATTTCAATTCAGCGTGGCTACTTTTAATTCATTTCCCTCAGAACTACAAGCTAAGTTGCTCTTCTTGGTTTTCACTCGTATTGTAAGCTCACCATCAACCAACAGTGATTGGGTTTCGTTTTTGAAGTCTTTACGTAACTTTCCTGAGCTGTGTGCCTCAATAATCAACTTTTGTTTAAAATCCAATAAAGAGCTGTGTCATGAGATGTGGAAATTTGTCATAGACGAATGGTGTCTTTCTTTGCATAAGTGTTTGGATAACGATGAAGTTGATAATCTACTTCGTATTATAAGCCCGGTTTGTCTGCATACAAATGCTTCGCTCCATATGGAATCTGGAAATGACTTACTAAAAAAAATTCTGTCTGTCGTCATGAAAAACTCAAATTCCGTTAACGGAAACAAAGTAGACAAGTACCATACAAGGTTGTGGGTCTTGTCAAGAATTCTAGTCCATTGTTCACCATCTTCAATAGTTTCATTGTCGGATGTAACTGATGTAGCAGACTACTTAGTATCTCATTGTAGCAATTCTTTTTCTGATCCCATGACTTCTAGTATAGATGCCGGGTATAACTTTTTTGAAGAGGTTTGTCTTCTCTACTGGGGCTCAAAACAGTCAGTCATTGATAAACTGATCTTTAAACTCTTTGGTTCACTTTTGACCATAGATAATCCAAGAATTTTTTCCATCTTCTCATTTCATTTTATTCACCTTATCCAAGAATTATCTTATAAATACAACTGTTTAGAGGTGTACAGTACATTTTGGATTTGCCTTTTTAAACTACTTAACAAAGTAAATGATCAGATACTAAACCAATCTCTCATGTTATTTGATGTGTTTAATAATGAAGGATTACTGGATGTAGCTGTTGCAATTTTAAAAATTCTTAGTTGCGAAACATATATATTATTATGGACAAGTGAATGTAAACTGTTATTTTCTATGTTTGTTGATAGTCTCATGTCGAGACTTGGTGTCGATAATTTTATAAACGATGCTTCTTTTCGTGGGCTTTCCCTTTCAACCTTTATTATCTTCATCGTCTGTGAGTATCGTAATAATCACACAAGTCCCCATTCAAAGGATCACACTCGTTCACCTGAATGGGCTTGGAGATCATATGATTATCTTGTAAATTTTGACCTAATGGAATTGACAGAATCAAAGTTTGTTTCCAAAACACTGTGGAATACCGTCAAATATCTCGAGAAGGTAAGTTTATTGACATCTCTTACTCTGCTTTTTGACTGGTACTGTTTTGTAGCTTGCTTGTTGATACAGCACGATATTAAGTTATGTTCAGTTGGGTAGGCAGTTGATCAAAAGATTTTATTTAAAATACCAAAGCTTCAGTCCAAGTGACACTTCTGCTACGTTCTGTTTTTTTTTGGCGTTTTGTGCCCGTAACCACAGTGCGAGTCCATAGGGTTAGTTGAAAAAGTTGCCATGGATGTACACTAAGCTTGTACAATTAATTTCGCATATCTTTCTGCAATACCCAAGCAATAATATTATATTTAATTCAAAATCTTGTAAACGGTATCACATATTTTTGAAGCGATAGCCCATCATTTTGGTCATCTGACTTTCAAATAGCCTTTTATAGATGGGAAATTTAGTCCGCAGATCAATATTTGTAACAATTAATTCATCAACTAAGTGTAGACTCGTTTACTTGGTTTTGAACCACATCCATTATGTTTGGGTTAGTGATACCACGCAGTTGGTCAAACCCAAGTTTGTGGATGAGGTTCAATTTAGCGGAATCACGCCTAAAACTTGAACCTCTTGATGAGTAACGCACTGTTCCACAACAACATTTAATGATGTAGCAGATAGCTTCACTGGATCTTACGTCATATTTATAACTTTTAATTTAACATGAGAACTTATTGTATATGCATATATATGTAACGCTAGGCTTGATTATTTACTGCAATTTTCGGCGTCTTCAACATTCAGTTTTGCTATCTCGTCATATTCGTTTTGGAGATACCCATGCCTCTGACTTACGCAAGACCAACTTTTAACAACTGTTAACGTATGTACTCTGTATATACCCAAACATATATACTGGAGCATGAACCGTACTCTAAATGTGAAGGATAATAGTACCACCAATTCGCCCAAACCAAAGTGGGTGAAACGGAGTTCAAACGTGGGTCTGTGTCTGTAATTTGAAGGTCTTAACCACTAAACCAGCATTCCGTATGCCTGAGCTACCTGAGGTTTTGTTAGTATGATTTTACTACAATTCAAATCTCGTCTTCCTGTATTTCCTCGTAAAAGTTTGGGATGACGTTCATAACGCATATTTTAACTGTTTCAGTTCCTTAGGGTTTGAGAATTTCGTCGATTAGCATACCGCTTCCACTTGAACTTCCACAAGTAATATATTGTTGATTCGAAAACACGTAACTGTTCCTTAGGGAATAAAAAAACCCCGAATACCTCGACTTTTTTACGTTGATGCTAAAAATTCGAGATTTAAGGTGTAGTTTTCAAGTGCATCAGCAATACACAATCAATGTTCTCTTTTTTTGTCAAAAGAAACTGGACTCATAGGTTTAATGATGTTTTATTTCTGAAAATTTTCCCACTTTATTCAATGTATAGAGGTGATTCTCCTGATCTACATAAAAAATAGGCATCGAAGCATTTTATGCATGTTCATAAATACATATTTGGTACAGTTCTCTAGTCATGTTCTGAATCGGTTAGTAGCTTTATTAAACAATATCTGTTGTTCTACTATTTCTCCGATGAATATGGTAACTGAGCTAGTTATATTTTTTTGTAGAGCTTAAAAAACCCGGGAGGTTTTTTAAATGTTTAGAACTGTTCTTGGAAAAAATGCATTAAAGAAAAGTTCTCTTCAAATAAAGACTATGTAGATTGCAATGACAATTCAAAGCGAAGACGACAGTCAGCCTCTTGTGTTTTTGAGAATATTAAATATCTTTAATCTTTTGGGTTTTTCAATCGCTGATTTACTGCCAGAATATCTGCTGAAGAATTTGATTTGCGAGAATCGTTTGTTTATGTAGTTGTAGCAAAGTATTGGATGACGAAAAAGCCTGTGTTTTTTGACTGCTATGGACTTTCTAAAGTGTTTTGATTATTGGAATGGGAGATGAAACGAAGATATTACCAGTTATGGGGAATATCTTGAAAGGAAGAAGAATATTACTGTACTTTTGTTTCTTAGGAAAAGCTTACATAACGTCATACGTGAAGATAGATGGTGGCTAGCAATGGAATCTAAGACGCACGTTTCGTTCTGTTTGGGACTCGCCAGCCGGATATATTTACGTCCGAGTGAAGCTCAACTCTGAAATGCAGACACATCCAGATGATGAGTCCCAAATAGAACGAAACGCACGTCCTGTATTCAACTGCTAGCCACTATCCATCTTCGGTTAGTTAAATGTTTTCAAACTATAAATTTGCGGTTGTTCATCAATAATGTATTGTATTGTAACATTGACATCTTCCGTATTGTATAAATCCCCAATGTTTCACAATATCTAATCTGATTTCTCTTCAAGGAATCTGAAAAATATTCAATCGATCTATGGAAAAATATTCTATCATCAATTACAATGAAATGGAAGAAAGATCTTGGTGAAGAGTACTCGTTATCTATACAAGAGTTATCTCTCCTAAATTATTGTCCTAATTGTAAAGAGAATATTAGAGAATTATTAGATGATATAATTATTTCAAGTACCAGTAATATGACCGCTGATTGTACAGAAGGTTGATTTTTCTTTCAAGAGGACAAATATTATCTTGGTGTATATTTCGTAAGCATATATATGTTATAGATCAAGAGTAATATACTTGTTCTGTTGTTTACTTAACGAAGAGAATTTCATGATTTATAACGATACTAAAGTTAAATGTAATTTATTTTTACCACCTTAGGTTCTGGCATCAATATTAATCGTTCCTAACTATTATAACTCACATTGTCATAGTATGTGTGTGTGTGTATGTGTTGGAGAGAAGATTAGCAAGTGAATAGAAATGATAGTATCAGTAGTGATATAAATTGAAGTATAGGGAAGTATTGTGTAGAAAGAAATAAATGAGATCGTAAAATGACAAGATAAGGAAATGAGATTTAATGCAAAATAAATCACAGTGTCGCCGTTGAATTAATTCTTTGTCTTCTTCTAAATCCTAAGCTATGTAATCTGGTATCTCTAACAATTGATTGGAACTGTTGTATGAACCTTAAACTAGGTGTATGTTAAAGTGATTTAGTATTGTGATGTATTGTATTTTATTTTAATCATTTATTTGTATTATGGTAAGTGCCTCATTTTAATCTGGCTACCGATTTTTTAAATAAATAGTGATAAGAATATGTTACGATGTAAAGTACTGGCAATGTATATGACAGTGCAAGAAGAGTAACTAATACGGATAGATATGTCCAAACCAAAACATGCTAATCTGTCCACTAAATTGTTGACTGTTGAACTGAAGTGTTGAAAGGTACAGATTTATTACTTTTAAAGTTTTAGTGACATAGATTAAGATTAATTCCGGTAGTACATATGTACTCTTTCCCTATCTGACTACCGATTTTGGATTTCAATATCACTTCATACAACTACCTAACGATTTGACTTTCACCTTTCAAGTTATATTTTATGCGCCTAGTGTCTTTCCACCACTAATGTTGTAACATCTCTGGACGATGTGGATTTATGCTCTTCTACTGTTCTACATCTAAACTTGAGTGAGTGGTAAAATTAAGTGAGTAAAATATTGAATAGATCGGGGCATTAAGTCTGTTGATTATTCTCATAACAGATGTACTTGTTGATCTCCATAGAAAATGGCGTACACTAATATTTAAACTACTGACCATATGTTTGTTGTTTCAGTTAGTTAGTCAGTAACAATGTAGAACTTCGCACATACGTACATCAGTTTGAGTTGACATACCACATTGGCACACAGATACAGTTGTCAATTCAAATCCCATAGTGGTAGAGGTAGTAAAAGTATAAGCATTAATCGGAAACATTAGGGTTTAAAGATGTTATTCAAGGAGTATAATCCAGTGATGAAATAAATTTGGAAAGACAAGAAAGGAAGGGTCATGAAGAATTCAGAAGAATAGAATTTGGGTGAACACAAAAAGTGGATGCACCTGCGCCATCGAAAACGATTTTTAGCCAATATCATTCAAGTTCTCTAACCATCGGTTGCTATCATCTCGCGGATCCCGACCAAGAAGTCTATACCTACCAACATGGTTCAGTCCACTTGTGAGTGACTTCATGGATTTGTGCCATGTTTTGGTCTGGTCGCTCCTAGCTTTCTCCTAACCTACTCCTACACCATAAAACATCGCTTGTCAGGGCAGTCGGTGGTCGGGCACACGTAACACGTGTCCCAGCCATGTTTGTTGTTTAATTTAAGGTGAGAAAATTAAAGACTTCTATTTAGTAGATTTGAACTGACTTTTTTTAAACAGTGGAAGATCGGTTGTAAGAGACAAAAAAAGTAAATATATCGGAAGAGCCTGATGGTATTATTTTCCAAACCTTTCAGATCTTTCCAATTAGTCTATTGAGTCATACTTTCTCAGACATTCTATAAGTTTTACTGCCTCGCTTGAAAATCGAGTAACCTCTTAAGTCATCCAAGAGGTACACATTGATAGTTGATAAAGTGATCATCTTACAAGGGGAGAATACAAATCATTTGATGGAATAAGATCATGATATATCCATGTTTCTCAGTTAAAAGAAGATGTAAATCCCGAATAAACATGAGAATATATAATCTTCAAGTGAAGTTCTCACAAATGGAGAAGATGAAACACTGATCAACGATTATAATATGGAAGTTGTTTGGAATACCAATATTATATGGGAGAAGATTAAAGTATTTGCAAACTGAAAACCAGTTTTCTTTGTGTATTTCTTTATCATTCAAGTTTCCACCTCATAATTTTTTCAAGTAGGACGTTTTTGTGGGACATCCAACCTATGTCCAAGGGCATTAAATAGATAATTCAAAATATATCCGACATTGACTAGTTCTTAATAGGGTGAACTTATATTTTTCTCTTCTAATAAAACATACTGGTAAGCACTTTGTTGGATGGCAAATCAATTGATGAAGTGGTGGAACTTCATCAGTTGAGGTGGCTGGGACATGTGTTACGTGTGCCCGACCACCGACTGCCTTGACGAGCGGTGTTTTATGGTGTAGTAGTTAGTAGGTTAGAAGAAAGCTAGGAGCGGCCAGACCAAAACATGGCACAAATCCATGAAGTCACTCACAAGTGGACTGAACCATGTTGGTAGGTATAGACTTCTTGGTCGGGATCCGCGAGATGATGGCAACCGATGGTTAGAGAACTTGAATGATATTGGCTCAAAATCGTTTGCAATGGCGCGGGTGCATCCACTTTTTGTGTTCTCCCAAATTCTATTCTTCTGAATTCTTCATGTCCCTTATTTTTTCTCTTTGCGAATTTATTTCACTGGATTATACTCCTTGAATAATATCTTCAAACCCTAATGTTTCCGATTAATGCTTATACTTTTACTACCTCTACCACTATGGGATTTGAGTTGACAATAGTATCTGTGTGCCAATGTGGTATGTCAACTCAAACTGATGTACGTATGTGCGAAGTTCTACATTGTTACTGACTGACTGACTGACTCTTTGTTTAACGTGCATTTTAGTTATAAATGAGTAGATTGGTGCACTAATAGAGACGGATTTAAAATACACAGCACACAAATTGACATAAAATAGAATTACTTCCACTTAGTACCTCATATCTTACTGATCTAGAAGAATATTATAAGATAGCAGATTACACTTTAACTACAGTGAATTATAGTTCATTAGTATATGTACACTAGTTGGTCCAACAGTAAAATGAATTGTCCATTCAAAGTATTCAAACCATTTATCAGTATTAATCATGATGTGAAGCGGAGAATGTTTTTTGTTTTACCTTATTAGTTAACAACTCAAGATATTGATTACGATTGTGCCCATTTAATATGAATATAAGAAATTATGATTTACTGTTAATCAAACATCTATATCATAATGGTACATTTATGAAATAATATGTTATTTAGATGAAGTTTTGTTCTCTAAGCTGGATAGTTTGGTTATAGAGCTTTCATAAGTTCATAAAGTATTATAACATGTCAAATCTTCAGTTATACTTATAGTGTGGGTTGTCCTACTTATATTGACATAAGTAGTATATGATGTTAGTCGTGAACAGAATGTCTGGCAGCAGAAAGACAAGAGGATCGAACAGTAAAGAATGGAAACAGAATGTAATTTGTATGAAAATACAAGAACAATGAAGTCTGAGTCATTTTGAGACAGTTTACAAATAAAACATTTACTATATGGTTGTTTGTCAAAAACATTCGACTGTTCCCCATTCGTGTTCTTGTTCATTACAATAGATGTGGATTGGCGCAGGAATATATTAATTGCTGTAAAGTATTTATTTGAAGTTAGATTACATTTATTACTTATGTAACAATATGGTGATCAGCTTTCTAGCTATGTATTAACTCAGAAAGAATAGCTTACGAGTTAGTGTCCAGTTTTCAGTCAATACGTAAATGTCACTGGTTGAAATCATGAATCAATTGAAGCTAGACCACCATGGAAAACCTGGAAGCACTGGACGGCCGTTTTGTCCTAGTATGGAACTCCTCAGCAGTGCGCGTCCACGACCTCGCCCCCATGCGAGATTCGAACCCAGGACCTACTGGTTTCGCGCGCAAGCAACTTTGTGGATTGGTTGAAGTTAGACATTAACACCGTTGGATGCCGGCTCAGTGGTCTAGTTGGTTAATCGCCTGGCGCGAGACTGATTGGTCCTGGGTTCGAATCTCACGACGAGCGTGATCGTGGATGCGCACTGCTGAGGAGTCCCATACTAGGACGAAACGGCCGTCCAGTGCTTTCAGGTTTTCCATGGTGGTATAGCTTCAATGGATTCATGATTTCAACCAGTGAAATTTTCAAAATCTTCACACAATCCCTTCTGATAATACGTAAATGGTTAATAGAATCAGTCCTTAAATAACTGGTAAATGAGTTGTTCCTACTTGAAAATATATGTTAAATGAAGTTGTATATGTTTCTGTATGCTTATAATGATACTTATATCATAAAAACAGAATAATTCAGTTAGATACAAATGATTTAAACTATTGACTATATTTATCAGTTATATATTTTAAAATATTAAAGATTCTCATTGTGAAAATTACAACAACACATATAAGAGAACAATTGTTTTCAATTAGATCATCATTAGGCTTTACTCTAATATACAATAATGTATTTATTACGATAATCTTAAACCCATCAAGGCAATTTTGGATCAGTAATTATAATGAAATAGGATAAGTCATCAGACATAATAGATAAAAGTACAAGTTGATAGTAGTAGGAAGATAGGTGTACTGATAGTAGTAGGTAAGAATAATAAAAGTCTTATCAATAGTTAAACATTGGGAATAGTAGGTCAAACATGAGTAAATGGAGTAGTTATCACAAAACATTGAAAGTTATGACGTAATAAGAAGTATGTAAATAATTACATAGTGAAGAATACAAACGGAAAGAGGCGGATAATTCCAAACAAATAATGGATGTGTAAATAAGGTTCATGATAGAATACTAATACTACTACTAATAATAATAATAACAATAATAATAATAATGAAAGAAAAATAAAGAAAAT